AGAGTGACAAAAAAATTTAATATCTAAATTTTAATAAACAAATTGAAAACAAAAATTAAAAGCAAGTGAGTAAAATATGATAAAAAGTAAAGTTCACAGTAAGCGTGTAATTTACCATTTTTGATAAGACAACAATTGAATCCTACTAGTATTTTAAGAGTAAAATATAAAAATAATCCCCAAACTTTTAAGAAGTTTACATTTTGATCAACTAACTTTTGAAACTTACCATACAATTATTGAACTTTTAATATCAGCCCTTACTTACATTTAATTTTTATTGACATAGCACTTAATTCCGTTATACTCTCCCGTTTCTTTTTCTTCCTCTTCTTGACCTCAATCCTTTTGCAGAACAGCTTTCTTGCAATTCTCCCATGCATCGATTGAAGAAAGCTTTTTGTAGGCTCTGCTGAAAAACAGTTTGAATCAACTCAAACTTTCAATCACAAAATCAAAGCCAGTTTAAAAGAGTATGACTTCGAAGAAGAAGAAGAAGAAGAAACCCAGGTGAAGAAAGTTGTTTTTTTTTTATTATAATATATATAAAAATAGCATTGAAAAAGATAAAATTAATCAGTGACAAACAGGAAATTCAAGTATTCAACCACCCAACAAGATGCTTCGAAGTTGTTTTTCTCTCCACAAATTTTGTAATGCAATCACCGCCTGAACTCTCGCTACAACAAACCCAATAACATTCCTTCCCACTGTTTATAGCAATCAATCGATGATCATTTGCAGTAACAACGAATATCCTGGTTTTCCTTTCGTCTCCTAATCCCATATCCAATTTCCCTTTTTTATTCCGTTTTTGAGTGTTTTTATCATGGTATTAAATTATCGTTCGAAAACGTGATAGCGGCCGTGATATTGCGGTAGCGCAGCCATCTGAAACCGATTTTTATGAATGTTACTGTAGGTCACGAATTCATACCAATCTCGAAATACCGCGCCCGCAATTTAAGGAGAAACAGTTGACTGCACCGATAACGGAACGCAACAACTGTTATTCCAACCATGATTCCAAGACAAAAACAAATATCAACCATCTGCAATCAATAGTCTGCAAAAACAAAAACCGATTTTCAAGTTGAGAGGTCGTAGGCAGCGGGGACTCGGTGGTCGAAGTTGATAGTTTGGTCGGTGGTTTCATTCGACTTCAGGGTTCGGGTAACCTAAGGGGTGAAGTTGGGTTTGGTTCTTATGGACCAATTTTTTTTTAGTTTAAGAATGAAGAACACTTTAGGGGTTCTTGTTTTAGGGAGGTGTTCTTGGGTTCTTGGTTTAGGGAAAAAGTTTTGATTCGAAAAAAAAAAAATAAAAGATGGTTGAGGATTTATTCTTGTTACGAATCAAAATTGGGATTAGGGGAAGAACATGTTGGCGTTCTTGAGAAAGTTATAAGTTTTGATCTTGAAAAACAAGTTTGGATGGTATTTTGGTGTTTATGGAAGATCTAACTTGGTCTGTAAGATGAATTTGGGAAGACATGGGATGAACATTTGGTTAAATTTGAGAGAAAGGGGCCGGTCGGGTAGAGAGTTGTGAGAGGAGGAGATAATTTTTTTTAGAACAAAATGATTCATGTCTTATATTTTAACTTTTATACTAGATGAATTTTTGGGAAAATTGGTTCATTAAAACCCCTACTTCATGGTTTTTTTGTGTTTTGTTTTGTTCTGTGTCTTTTAATTTATTTTATTTTGGTCACTAGATGTTTGTAAATCATTACATGAATTCTGAATTCAATGCAAGTTAGTACTGAATATCATTTTGATTGTTTCTTTTATTTTATTAAATGTCTTTTGTTATTAATTCTGAATTTTAGTTTTAAAATATTTCAATTTAGTCATGCGTTTAATTATAGATTAAAGCCTTTAGGTTTTTAATTTCTTAATTTAGTCACTAAAATCAAACCCTAGACGTTTTAATTAAAACTTTAGATTTTAGTTCTTTTAAAATTAGTTACTAATTGTTAATTAGGGCATTAGCTTAAGGTTCTTTAATTAAATTCATAATTTGATTAAAATAGAATGTTTATTTATTTTATGATATTGAAAAGGATGGCCTTAAGATAACTAGATATTCATTTTTCAATAATTTTTAAATAAACAAATATCCTAGCATTGGTCACCAAAAAAGTAAAATAGGTTCATATTAAGAACAAAATGATAAAGGTTTGTTCCTACGTTTAAATTGCTAAGGACACACTGCTTAATTAATGTCAATGAACATCTTTATTCTTTTTAATAATAAATTAACTAATTGGTCAACCCTTAGTTTTCTTTTTAGTGATCAATAATTGTTTAATTTTCTAAATTTTTAGTGAATGACAATATTTGATTGCTTCGATTAAAAAATAAGAAATAATTGTCTTAATGTAAACTAAGGGGTTAGTTTCTTTCTTTTTAATTGAAAATAGACAAATAATGTGTGTCTCCTAAAAATCTTTTAATTTGGTTAAAATGTTTTATTTAGGGAATAAAAGAATCAAAAATTAAATAAATATTTGAACTATTAGATTTTTAACGTTTCAACGATATGGTGGTGCATGCCCTCGACAACACCATTTTGTTGGGACGTGTGAGGAAAAATGAGTCTATGGTTTATCTCAACCTCTTGAAGCACCTTGGTGAACGATCAAAATTCACCACCCATTCACTTTGGATTTCTTTTATTTCACAATCAAATCGCACTTGAACCATATGCCAAAACAACGGGAATGCATATGACGCTTGTGACTTCTCCTTCAGCAAATGAACTCGAGTATACCTGGTGCATGCATCAAAACATGACATATAATATCAAAATCCATTGGACACAATATAAGGAGGTCCCCACAAGTTGATAAATACTAAATAAAACAGGTCATCATATATAGTTTAAGACAGATAATGACAAAGCACGACTTTTTCCGGAATAGCAGACAACATAAGCCTCATCATCAATGACAAAAGATGTATCAACATTACAATTACGACACACTTTTAGTAATGAATCGCGGTACGGGTGACCCAATCAATTATGCGACAAGCAAAAGTTAACAACCCCATGAGCTACATTACATTCAGCATGAATATTATTTTGCAAAGTAGAATCAAACTCATAAAGATCATCCTTCTCACGACCTTCAAGTATAATCGCTTTTGTGTCTTCGTCCCGAATCACGCATCTACGAGCATGAAATTCAAGAAACGACCGATTATCTTTAGCAAGTTCAGAGATCGAGACTAAATTCTTTGATATTTGAGGAACATGGAGCAAATTATTTACTTGCAAGGTACAATTAGAAGCAAGCAAACTTGATTGACCAATACGAGAAATTGAAAAAACGTTACCGTTAGTAACCATAATCTTACCTTGGCTGGTATAATCTTCTCCTTGGGCACCATTTTAATTTCTTAGATTTTTCCTATGTTGATAGTCTTATTTTTTTAAAATAATAATGTATTCACAATGTCATCGCTAATTAATTATCTTATCCTATCATCGGATTTTTAAAATCTTCTATTTTGTTAAACTATATTATACATATGCCAATTTCGCTTAGAAAACATTTAAAAAATCATTAAAAACGATTCCTTATAATTATAATTATTTTTATTATGTTTTAAGATAAGTTGTGCAAAATTAAAAAAAAAAAATCACGACCACGACACCCGCAGTGAACGCGATTGCATCCGTTATGTCTGCAACCGCGATAAACGCAACGCGACCGAAAACGTGACCGCGAACGCTATTTGATACCCTGGTTTTTATCATAAGGAGATTTCAAGCTAATGGGATTTGGGTCGATTTTCAATCGAAAGAAGAAGCGAGGTTCCACGAATTCAACTGCTTCTTCGCCGGATGTTCCATCGAATGAATCATTTGTTCATCCAATCCCCATTCCCCGATGCGATCTTCTTTGAGAAATTTCACCCAGACCCAACTCCAAGAAATCGAAGGAGTGTTCAAAATGTTCGACGCCAATGGCAACAACAAGATCTCGGCTTCAGAGCTCGACTCCATCTTGAGATCACTCAGCCAACGACCCTCTGACGAGGAACTCGATGACATGATCAAGGAATTCGACGCCGATTTCCATGAGTTCATCGAGTTGAACACCAGAAGGAGAAGAAGGGGTTTCAAAGGAGTTAAATGCCATGTCAGCAAAAATTAACTAGAAATGACTGTATTGCAAGTTTCAAAAGTTGGATGACCAAAATGGAAGTGTCCTAAAAGTTTGGGGACTATTTATATACTTTACCCATAATTTATCTATTTTTGTCTTTGACAAAACCCTTGTCGTCGTCGTCCATCCTATTGTGCCTTCCATCGCCAACGCCCAATTTGATCCCTTCTAATAATAATAATCTGTCATTTTTATGATTTATATGGGAGTCGTAAAAATGAAGATGAAGGTTTTTCGATTACCAGAGATTATCTTTGAATCGATTGTGAGTCGAATGTCTGACCAGGAATGCTTGATAATCCGTTCATGATTTTGTTTAGAAACGTCAATGTGAAATTCCCTTCATTTGTGTAAGCTGTTGGGCATCAAGCATGGCTGCTATAGGAGTAGAACATTGGCCTTCAGTCCCATAGTATTTCATCACTTTCCCCCTTTTGTTTAACATTCTATCAGCAATCGTACAGTAAGAGAACAACATCGACAAAAACATATAAAGAAAACCAGAAAAATTCACCACAGGCCAACAAGCAAACTTGAGAGACCGTCTTCTTAAGAAAACAACTAACAGAAGTGGTTCAAGAAATGCAACCGAATGATTTCATTGATAAAGGCAAGAACTCGAGTCTGCCGATACCCAACAACCAACCAACATATCAAAAGATACCGAAGGATTTAGGAAACACTTGACTTAACAAACTCTTGAAGACAAAAATCTTAAGTCGCAAATCTTTTACCAGATAGGTGGTGCTATAGAGAGCAGACAACACAAGAAACAATGGTCTATACAGACAAACATAAAATACGAAAATAAAAGCTAAACAGGCACCGATAAATTTCATTTCATTGCACCATAAGATGGTAACAGTTCTTATACTACTACCACTGGCCTGGCCAACGCCTCTGTTTCACAACAGGACATGCCCCTCTCAATGCCTATAGCTATAGCAGTGCAAGAAAACCATTAATGCTAATTTCAAACTTTATAACTATTACATGCAATATTTTCCAATGGAATGTAGGATGAAATATAGAAATATAAATAAAATTTAAAACCCTTTCAAGCTCGAGATATACGCCCTGCTCCAAAAAAAAAAAAGCAAAAGACCTCGTGTCTATGCGCCAAAACAAAAGCCCTGACTCGTTGGCAGCAATGAAAATGCAAACACAAGTCTAAAAATTTCACTGCAAGGGAAGTAGTAAGACCTACAAAACTAAAGCCAATTTTTCAAAACTAAACACTTCAACCAAATTTGAAGCCACCAGGTGGAGCGCTGGCCTGATTAGCTCCAAAATTAAAGCCTTGCTGGTTTTCATCCCCGGTACCATCTTGGAGATTCTGTCCATCCTCTTCTTCTTCAGCCCAGTATCTCTCCAAGATCTTCACAGCCTTCTCATAAATCTCGTGGTTGTCATGAGTTTGAAGGTTTTCAATTTTATCCAACCCATCGCATTCATCAATAGTTTGTGCAAATAGATTAATTCCATCGTTCATTCCCATTTCCTTATCAGCCTCACCAACCTTCAGGATGTTCTCAAGCCCTTCGAGGCACACAGTCACAATCCGTGGATCTGGACAAATTAAGAGATCACAGAGAGGCTTAATGCAACCTTGGCTCACCAAGAATCTGCAAAATAACAAATCATATGATGTTTGGAAGAAAATATAGTTGAGTATGCCAACAACTTACGACACATTGGTATCCGAGCAGACATGTATGCTCCATGATTCTAATCTTGCATTTGGATGATAATATTATAATATATTCTCCCATTAATCAATGTATGGAGGTTTGTAGGTGTTCATGTGTCTTTTGTAAACATGCATGGATGCACAGTCCAATAAAGGAAAAACTGAAATGCAAGCAAAAGAGTAGCAGGGGATACTTAATCTGCTCGTGAGTTCCTCCAGAGGTTGCATTTGAGATGGCCCATGCAGCCTCCTTCTTAATATCAAACTCTGCATGTTGGAGAAGGTGTACAAGAGGAAGAATAACATTTGCCTCGATAACTGCCTGTAACACAGGAAATCAAACAAATAAATAACAACAACATGTGTGCCTTTAATTTGATATATATTGCCCAAGAACTAGTACTAGTTGAAGTTACAGCTTAAGTAAGCAAATCAGTGCTTCAATTACAATGAACAAAAAATTGCAACATGATACCAACACCTTTGAAATCATCACTAAAAGCAAAAGCCATATTGGCACTTCTAAGGCAATCAAACAAGCCGATTAAATTATTATACCTTTTGGCTGCTGAATACATTAAGGCAATAGAATCTTCAAAGTATAAGGGGCAGGGAGAAACTATACCTGTATTTGAGCTCTATTCCCAGCTGTTATATTGGAGATTGTCCAACAAGCTTCTTTCTTTATGCTTTTTTTGTGATTTTGCATGAGAAGTTGATAGAGAAGAGGGAGCACCTTGTTGTCAATCACAAACTGAAAAATATACCCATAGTAATTTCACAGCTTTTATAGGAAACAAAGAAAAAACTTCCTAAAAAGTGTTTATATTTGTGTAATAAACAACAATAGGGCTTTAAAGTACTGTTTCTATTTAAAAGAATCGGTTTGTTTACTATATCATTACAATTAGATTATGTTTCATGAACAATTCAAATGAAGCAAATAAATTCAGTGCAGTAAACAACAGAAAAGATCAACCAGCATCTAAAAAAACATTACTGATGTGAAGATTGTAGTGAACATGCACAAATGTACTTCATACCTGAGTCTGATTATCATCACCAGTGACAATGTTTCCCACAGTCCGAAGAGCAGGTATAAGAACTGTAGGTGATGGATGACTGGCATGAATGAATTTTAGTCAGCACCAATAGTCAAAATATTGCAACAAGTATAAAACTGACAAAGTATACAGACATAAAAACCCTGTGACAGAAGCAAAAACAATAGGCTGTAGCTAAGGAGAAGGTGCACGATATCTATTCTAAAAAAATTCCAGAGGAAAAAAAAATCTAAGAGTAATTAGCTTTCAAGTATTCTGTAGAGAAGGCATAACCTTACCTTAGAAGTTCCACAAGTCGTGGGCAGACCCCAGCTTCAAGCACAGCCTGAATTTTGTCATTTGGACCATCGGAAAGATAAGACAGTGCCCAGCAAGCATCTGTCAGAACTTCTACATCATTCAAGTAGATAAGTTCACGTAGAATTGGTAAAGCAGGCTTCACCTGAAAAGAAAACAAAGTTTCTGTTATGAACTCCACAGATTATAAAAAAGTATTTTGCCAAAATAAAATAAAATAACCTAACTCTGACTGTTAACACTTCTCTTATACAGAATTAAAGAGGAGCCTTTCAAAGTCTCTACCTGCTCAAATGGAGTCGGTGGCTTGCCACGGCAGAAATTAGATAATGTCCACGTAGCATTCCTCAGCATTGATAATTTTGATCGTTCATTTAACTGAGCTAACAATGGCATAAGTGCACCATTACCAAGAACTAGATCTCTACAACTTGGTGAATCACCCGCGACATTACCTAAAGCCCATACAGCCTAAACAGAAAATAGGGTGACAACAGTAATTACAAGCAATGAACATAGATAAAATGAGGATTAACAAAAAAAAGGCATAAAGATGTACAAGTAAATATAGTATGGAAATTAATTTCAACGTAGATTACTCTAAGTGGGAGGAAACAAAGCAACTTAGGAGTTAGGACAAGATATAAATATATGAAGTGACTGATAAAATACACCTAGAAAAAGTAGAACTGAAAATAGTAATGGTCAGAGATTCAAGGAAAGTAAGAATTTTTATTTTTGTCATTTTCAGTCATAAATATAGGAGATATAGATGAGTTATTGAAACAAGAACTGACCTGCTCCCTAACATCATCACTGGGAGAACTAAGAAGTTGCACAAACATTGGGACGGCACCATGTTCAATAACAACTCGTGTGTGCTCAGATGTGCCAGAGGCAACATTGGTCAAAGCCCAGGCAGCCTCAAACTAAAATCAAAAGGAAGTTAGTTCCAGTGATAATAATATTTCTAATGCAAATTATTGCAATTTAAACAAAACATTGTTGTACTTGCAATTGAGCCAAATCCTGCCTTCCAAGAAACTCTACAAACCGAGGAACAACTCCAGCTTTAATTACTTCATCAATTGGAGGACTGCGTTCTACAAGTAAGCAGATGAAAGTTAATAATGTTAAAGGACATATTCCTTAACCAAAAAAAAAACACTGCTTTAAGTATAGGAATTAGGATATAGAAGTAGAACTAACCTATCGATAACAGCTTCCTAAACTGCGTTGTAGCTTCCAACTGTGAAGCAGGATCATCGGACCACACCCCTTGTACCATCAAAGGAATACTTTCCAACTATTAGAAATCATCAAGAATACCAAGTTCAGATCCAAATAATGAAAAGCCTAAACTTCAGAAGACCAGAACCACAACAAAGTCCAGCCCTACACTTTCTGAACATTCGAGCAGGATTGAAGTTTGGATATCCTAACTTCAAAAACAGTATACGAATGACATTTGACCTTTTCCAACCCCTGCATGATGAAAGAGATGGGATCTAAAATGCTAAATCCTTCCCTTAACTACATCCATTTTATCAGCAACAAAACCAAATAGAAAACAATCCTACACATACTTCACCGAAATGCTACTAGATCATAGAATATGAGAATACTGTCATCCTAAATCCATAATCTCGAGCACCCTCTTTCCCCCTGCTTTTAAGTATGCATAAAAATTAATAACCCGAATATCCATGAGCCAATTCATTTCTTTCTGATCTTAAGAATCAACAACTACAATCGAGTAAAAACAGCAATAATATCTGACAAAAGTAGCATTGCAATACACGCAGCTGAATCAGGATCTCATAATATCTGAAAAAAGCTGAATCAAGATCTCAACTTTCACCACCAATAAAAAAAAGTACCCTTTTTTCGTTAGCGGCGGCATTTTGGGTGGTATCGCCCAATGGCGGTTGAGAGTGAAGAAGAAGGCCTTCTCTCCTCTTTTTAAGGAGATTGTCTTCACGCTTGTTCTTCCGGATCTCAACCAAATTGTCCTCTCTCCTCCTCCTGGCCTCCACCGCATCCACGCCCGTTTTGTAACTCTTCTTTCTCACCTCAGTTCGGGTACCTGGTCGAAGCGACATTCTGTTCGTTTGAATGCTTTCCTTTGTGTACCTCTGTTTGTAGAAATGACACTGTTAAAGAAATGAAAGGGATATCGTCGAAGGCGGGTAGTGGTGGAGCCGTGGAGGGCAGAAACTAGTGTAAGATTATGAAGTGATAAATGGGTTTTTATAATTATTTTATTTCTTTTGTTTTATGATCTAAAATAGATTTTGGCAGACTCACTGAATGCGAATGGCCAATGGGCCAGTTTTTTCTTCTTCTTTTTCGACGATGGCCAATGGGCCCGTTTTTTAAAGGAGAAATGGGGGAGTTTTAAGTACCCAAAATTTCATATTCCCCTTAGAACAACCCTACAATTTGTTCACAACCGAATTGAAAATCTAACCATGGCATTGATGCAAGTTGTTAACAGCACAAAGGCAATTCCTTTCTCAAATCCATATGTGTTCTCGAGGTTCTTCTCCAAGTCAAGTTCATTTATTTGTAAGGCCTTCTATCTCCTTCTTAAACAAGAGCAAGAACATTAAAAACGAAATATTCCCATAGTTCTCTTTGGTTCCTGGGAAATTTGTAGAATATTATTTGTGTTAGTTCTGTTGCTTGTGCTTCTTTAGACTTTTTTGGTTGGCCATTTGGCCAACTGTTCATATGAAGTTTATATTTCTCAGGCTTATAGTATTGCTCAGAATAATGAGGATTTTAGGAAAAAGTTCGGTTCTTTTTTTTTCTTGAAATCCAGTGAAGTGGGATGAAGAGATGAAAAAGAAAGAGTGGGATTTTCTATTCATGTTATTAGATTATTAGGATTCTCGAGAAATATCTTTTAAAATAGCTACATAGACTTAACATGAAGTTGGTCCTTTTTCCTGTCTACAAGCTAAGTTAGTACCATTAGGAGAATTTATTACCCCAAAGGTATTATATTGTAAATGTCATACCTTTTGGATAATTGTAATCTCAAATTGGTGAAAATGAATCTGAAAAATGATCTTGTTATTTTTGCAGCGAAGGTTGGAATACCGGAATTTCTGAATGGAGTTGGAAATGGGGTTGAAACTCATGTAGCGAAGCTGGAATCTGAGATTGGTGACTTTCAGAAACTTCTCGTCACCCGCACTCTTAAGCTCAAGAAACTTGGAATTCCTTGCAAACATGTAACAATCCCCCCTACTCTAAAACACAAATTTCGTTTAATATGCATGACTATGTTGAGAACTGCATGCTTTTTGTGCATACTAATTTCCTCTAATGCTCCCATGATGTTGCCCCCAGTTTTGATATAAAATCCTAGCTTGTTGCTTATCAAACTGGAATTGCAACTGGCTAAACTATCGACATTCTGTTCTTTTATGACCTTAATCTAAAGCTGTGTGTTTATTATTTGTTTTGTTGCTTAATATTGTAAGCTAGTTTGAGTAGTCCATCAGCCCGTGCCACCTAGGATCTTCCAAAGCTTAAAGCTTTTGGATATGGTAGCTTACAAGTAGTTTGAACGAGCCGGATAGAATAGAATGGGAATTATAATTGTTGATAGAATGGTTTTAGTTTGCAGCTTAACCATTAGATTAACAAAATTTTCGTTCTTTATATCAAGCAAAGCATGAAATTGTATTCTCTCTATCTTATCTCTCCGTGTGTCAAAGGGGTAAATCAATTTTGTGTTTTGTAGACAAAATGCTTCTCGTGTTAGTTGTACGGCATGCAATGTGCTGGTTTATCACCAACCAACCTGATGAGTTAGATCCTGCAGCTATGATTACTATCCTTATAAAAATGGTAGGATGTTGGCGTAGATTCTTGATATCTACCTAGGTGAATTATCTTGATGTGCAAATTTACTGTTGTGTTCTGGTAGTGTTATCCTTGATGCTGAACAAAATTTGATTCCCTCAACAATATTGTTAGCCTATGAAAGTGTTCTGTTTTTTTTTTGGGTGTAAAAGGATTTGCTATTTAAGTAAATGTATTTGTGGATTCAACTAGGATCGAGTTAGTCGCTGACGGCTTTTTTTTATTTCTTGCAGAGAAAGCTGATATTGAAATACACGCACAAATATAGGTTGGGTTTGTGGAAGCCGAGGGCTGAACCCGTGAAGACTTGATCAATCTATCTAATTCTTTGGTTGCTGTGCTAAGATATTACTGTTGCAGCCCTTTCTTTTCCCTTTGTTGCCTTGAAATTGAGTACTAAAAACTAGGGTTCTAAACAAATTTAAGAATATGTAATTGCAGAATGCAACATTTGTCATTAGAAAACTTTTTGGACTTTATAATATCGGTATTGGGGACCACGTGTATGTCCATTGCCAAAAATGTTCATCCTTCCATGACTAAATTTTCAAAAATGTCATTATCAACAGCATGGTTACTGTAAGTCGCTATCAATAGCAATAAACTAAAGATACCTCAACAAAACAAATAATTAGACTGAAGTAACCATGGCGTCTGCAGTGCACCATGTACGGTAGCTTTTTCATCGGATACTTCCAGTGGTATTACAGTACTACAAAAGCAGAGCAAAAACAAATCAAGTTAAAATGTTGCAAGACTGAGGTTGAAGCAAACCCAACTTCATCAGAGTCCTTCAAGTAAGGAACCATAGCTGGGAAGATGGTACTGCACTCACACCAATAAGGCTGGGAAGAAAAGTAAAACCTCTTGGAATGGTTTTGGAACCAATCCCTGATTGGCATAAATGGTAATGATGGTTATGGAGGAACCCGGAAACCTTGGCATATATTGTGCAATTTCGAAGAACTTTAATCCAATCACTACAATGCATTAGAACCCAAGATTCCTAAGAGAGAAAAAATCTAACAAAATGTGAACTTGAAAGAACTAGTGGTGTGGTAACTTTTTCTATCATTCCATGTACTGTATCTGGGGGTTAATTATCTTCTTCAAACTGTTCATTAATATGAACTTTTTTTTTGGATAAATAAGCTTTTGTTGTGTATCAAACAAGCAACACGGGGTTCAATGGACAAGTAATTTCTTCTTTGTTTTAGGGGTGATTAAGTGTCTTAACTGGTTTGTTTTTAAGAAAAACAGATGCTAATCAACCAGTTCAATTGAATGCCGTGTATATAAATTAAGACATGCAAATCAATGGCGTTAATTAAGCTTGGTTACCATGGAAGATTACTACACAGATGAAGAGAATAGTGATGATCACTGCAAAAACTCTGGTTTGTGATGAAGATGCCTTCTCGGCTCTCTTTTTCTTTAATGCCTTGATTCTTTGGTCCCTTGCATGCCTCAACCGTGAAAGCTGAGAAACTTCTCTAACCAATTTAAGATCAGCTTCGCTAAACGATCGGCCACTGGGCGGCATCAGCAGTTTGGAGGCTTCTTCGATCCCGTGCTCGTCTTCCTCTGATTCCTCAACGTTTTCTTCTCAACACTACCCGTTACCCTTGCATCATCCTCGGCGTTAATCATCGTGCTTCATCCTCTCCTGAAATAAAGGAAAACTTCTCGCTAATCGTAGCGGCCAATGCACGTTTAGAGTGACAATCAGCTCATCCAGATCCATTCTTTGGTGAGAAAGATGTTTTTCTTCGATTTTGTCGTCATTATAATCACCGTTATCACTCGTGGTGGTGCCACCACTTTCTAAATCAACGTCGTCTTCCGATGAATCTATTTTATTCGTATGAAATATTTCATCCCATTCTCTGAAAATCATGAAGGTGCATGTTGAAAGTCTAAGTTGGTTGGCAGCCGACTGCTTTGAACAAAATTAGGCAGCCAACCTTTGTTGAAAAAATTAAAAGGGATAATTAAAATTAGTCCTTCACTTTAGGGTATTTACAAGATTAGTCCTTAAGTTTCAACTATAAATATCTGTTGAGTTAATCGAATGACGAAATTGGCCAAGAGGGGGGGTGAATTGGCAATAAAAAATTTTGTGGAAGCTTTTGCAGAAAATTGAAAATAATTGCACAGCGATTTACAGTGGTTCGACTTTCTCAAACATAGTCTACGTCCACTACCTTAGCTATCCACACTAAGGATTTTCCAACAAATTCACTAATTTGTTCTTTCTTTTGAGGCCAAAGAGATAACCTTACAATTCCCTCAAGAGTATACCCCAACTCTTGAGAACACTCTTTTCTCAAAGAGAAGATTACAAATTTGCAAACTTACAAGAAAACCTCACAAGGTAAGATGTTTGCACAATTCTAGAACAAAGAAAAGAACACTCAAAGATGAATACAATTGAGCACAAAAAGTGTTCTTGAAAGCAAAATGAATATTGAATGAAAATGGGCTTTGAAATGCTCAAACTTGAGGTTTGATGCTTTCTCTTTGATTCTCTCTTGATTCTAGTTGCTTGATGTTTCTTGTTATTGATCAATGGCTTCTAAGCTTGCTTAAATACACCTTGGATCACTTCTGAACGTTGGGGATAATTAGAGAAGATATTATAGCCGTTTTAGTGTGAAAACATTTAATAAAACAGCTTGGAGCGTGGGGGGAATCGGTTCCCTCTCATAGGGAATCGGTTCCCTAAGTGTAAAATTCAAATATATCGACCGTTGAATCAGGGGGGAATCAGTTCCCTCCGAGCATTCTGGAAATCTCGGAGCCAAACCATTCAGGGGGGAATCGGTTCCTCCTATGGGGGGGAATCGGTTCCCTCTGAGCAATCTGGAATTTTTGGCTTTGAATTGGTTCGAAATACTTTGTAAAATTATTTTGAAATTGTTTTATGATTAAAACTTAATTTTACACTTAAGTAAGGATCAAAAATGATTTTTGAAATATTTGGAGTAATGTTTTGATATTCGAATAGTTATATCGAATATACTTAGAAAATCATTCGGAAAATCTTAAAATCCATTTAACTTAATTTGTTATATCGAAATATTAAAATGTTTCAACAATCTCCCCCTTTTTGATATAACAAAACATTTTAATAATTTTAAGATTTTTGAAATCAAGTTTTGAAATTACTCCCCCTTACTTTAACACTTCTTCAATTTATCATGTAAAACATTTAACACTTATTCTTCTCCCCCTTTTTGTTAAATCAAAAAGACATTGTAAAACAAGGTTTTGAAAATCATTTAGCCAATTGATTTAATAATTATAAGCTTAAGCTGCTAAGATCACAATCAAAAGAGAGGTTAGCCATTAGTTTCATAAATCAATA